CACCGCCACAGTGAATGCCTGAGGAACCAGGAGCCCAGAATCCACAGCAGCCTGGAGCCATGGGCCCTGGGTGGTTGGGTTCCCCAGGGCAGTGGTGAGCTGGGCAGTACCACCCTCCCACCTGCAGAGAAAGGTACAGGCAGTGCTGTGTCCCAGTGACTGAGGGTTCTACGGGCTGTTAGCGGTGAACGCCAAAAATGCAATGCCCAGGACAGACCCCGTGCAACAGATTTATCCACCCCCAATGCCCACAGCCTTCTCATTGGCAATCGCCGCCTTTGGGACTCAGCTGTGGCTGCTCCCGTACACTGCCCTCGCCTTGGGCCTCTCAGTTCTTGTCATGAGGGAAGGTCAAAGCTGGAAAGAAGCATGATCAAGTATATTTCTGAACACCGCAATAACTAAGGCTACCGTGGCGGTGAGTTTGGGGACAGCCTGGCTGAGGCCACTCCTATGGGCATCTTCACCAGGCTGGGCTCAGACCTTGGCTCTGAATGTGGTCTCCAGACCACAGACTGGTTATTCTTGAGAAACTCAGATCTGTCTCAGTGGTCCGACCAAGCATGGGAGAGGCACACAGGATGAGGGTACACAGGGAGAAGGGCAGAGCCGAGTCAAGATGCCCCATCCTCCTGCAGTTGCCCGTCTGGTCCACCCAGCCCATTAGTGCCGGGAGCCTAGGACCAGCAGAAAGATCCTGAGTTTTCCTGATACCACTACATCCTTTCCGCCCCCACCTCTGCAGGGCAACCACTCTCCCACTGGCCATGGAGCCCACTGGGCTACAGCAACCAGGGTCCAGGGAACCAAAGTGATAAACCCACTCACAGAACTCAGGTGACACTCCCAATGTCAGCCTCTTCCGTCTCCTACCTGGGTCCCAGGAGCAGTGCCATGTTGGGCAGGGCAGTGACCCAGGCCTGTAGTCACTGGTAGCCCACAGGAGTTGGGACAGCCCCTCACACTGCTGCTGCAAGTTTTGGCTTCACGGGGAGACTCAAGAAGAGCCTCTGTCCCCAGGCAACTCCTCTTCTGTGTATGCAGGGACGGCGTATACAATAGTAATACACTGTGACGCCTCACACAACCGGTTGCGGAGACTCAGAGCAGGGATTTGAACTGGCAAAGTGCCCTTGTCAGCAGTCTAGGATGCACTTTTGGCCAAAGCCAGGGGGAGCCGAGCTATGAGCTGACGAAAGGACTGGGACCGAGAAGCTTCTGAGGCACCTTCCTGCTGGGAGTGTGGCACCACTGGCTGCCAAGGAGGAATGTGTCCAAGACAGAGGGTCAGGTGGGCTCAGCTCCAGGGCCGAACCAAGGGACCCAGGCTCACACTTCTCCAGGAGGCTGAGAGCTAAGGAGTTCTGCTCAAGTCAGGGGTGACGGACCCCCGTTAAGGAGTGTATGAGACGGATGAGTGGGAAAGTCCACTTCCACTGCACTCGGGATAAAGGGCCTGGGGTGACAAGAAGCCAACTCCCTGGACTGTATTCTCTTTTATACCTTTCCCCTCCTCACCCCTCCACATTTTCTGCCCACCCCTTTGGCCTGCCCACCTCCAGTGGTCAACAGTGAAGCACTTACACCATATCCTGGGGGAATCTGATTATACCAGGGGTGTTGGTATTTGGATGAGAGAGTGGCACTGGGGTTCAGTGTAGTTTTACCTCAGGGTGCTCCGTTCTGCGGGTGTGGTAGGAGGTACTTTTACTGCAGTGATAGGCTGTCTTCAAGGAGGTGGTGTGCACGGCAGATCCCCAAGGCTACGATTGCTCCAAGAGCCCCAGGCTCCCAGGGAGCCCCAGGATGAGGCCCTGGAGCTGGACAGCACTGATGGGAAAGTGAGAGGGAGCATGGCTTGCATCTGTTTTGCACCTTTGGTGATTAGTATTTCATACACATTTGGGGATGTTGCTTTCTCTGTGGGAACAGCCAAAGGAAAGTATTTTTGTTCGGATGGGTTTAGAAATTGATTTGGTACGAGAAGCTTCAACTTCCTTGCCCATCTCCCTTCCCCTGACTTAGCAAAACCACACCCTGGTTAAATCCAGTCTTCTGCCTGCTGTGCACGTGCCCTTGTGCGGCGAGCTCAGCGAAGCACAGCCACGTGTGCTGCCGGAATTGCTCTCGTGGTGCGACCTTGAACTCCAAGTGGGCCTCCGTGCTGGCAGGGATCAGATCACCTCATATTCCCCAAGACCGTCTTCACACCTCCCAGACACACCCTGAGACTTCTAAGTTTCCCCCCCCACCAGCCCCTGTCCAGTCAACATCCTCACCCCCTCACCCAAGGCCACCCCTGGGTGAAGGAGGACATACTTCTGCCTGCTGTGGAAACCCACGTGAGTGGGATCACCCAGCACGCGCTCTTGCGTCTGGCTTCTCTTGTTCAACATAGTGTTTTGGACCTAAAACATGATGGACTACATATCCACAGCCCTGTATGTGTTCACAGCTTACTCCTTTTTCTTTCTCAGTAGTGGTTCCTGTGTGGTCCCAAGCCACGTGTAGGTGTCTGCTTGTCTGTTCCTCGACATTCAGATTATTTCCGACTGGGGGATTTTAAAATTAACTCTCAGTCGATATGGTTGTATAATTCTTCTTGCAGATTGAAGTTTTCATTTTTCTGGGGTAAACACCTAGGAATGGAACTGCTGAGACCTAAGGCATATGTTTACAACTTGATAAGAAGCCACCACGCTGGTTTTGAAAGTGGCTCGACCCTCTGACCCTTCTGCACCCGAGTGTTGGTGTTCCAGGTGCGCCCCACAATCTGATCATTTAAAAGAGTAACTCAGAGTATGTCCCTCTGTCGCAAAAAAAAAACCCTCTATTGACCTAATGACTGAAAATGGGATTATATTAAGGAATCGCTGTAACCTCTGAGGTGTGAAAATGATTTAGTTAGGCGTACAAGAAGTCCTTACCATTCAGGGACACAGGCGGCACGACTGACTGATGAGTTGCTGTGACGTTGGGGAGGCGGGAGATGGGGTACAGAGGAGACAACTGGCCGTGAACCACTCATTGTGGAAGCTGGGCGAGCGGTACACGCCCTTGTTTCTGCAATGAGGTTGTTGACACCAGAGCCAGACCGAAGTGAAGCCGTGGAGGCAAATTTTATTCAGGAACTACTGCGGTCGGGGAAGAGAGACCCCACCATAGCACTGGACTCAGTTCTGAAGTGGGCGGGTCTGTGGATGGAAAATTACTAAGAGGTAACGCAGTGGTCTGGGGGGGTGGGGTCCTGGCTAAAGCGACCTGACAGGACTCTTAATGAAGCAGGTCAGGGTGAGGGGTGAGGAATGGGATCAGGTGGATACCAAGGGTGGTCGGGTCACCAAAGGCAGCGGATTCTGGCTAACCTGGCCCAGAGGGAGTCCCACCGAAGTGGGACTAAACAGGCCAAGGACAGAGACTAAGGTCAAGGCCTAGGGGAGCCAGTTAGGTCACGGTGAGAATCCTTGTCAGTTTATTCATAAGAAAGATTTTTTTTAATCTTCCAGCAGTTCTCCATCTCAGAGCAAAAGCTGGGTCCTCCCCAGGTCCCCTTCCCTCTCTAACTGTGTTTCTGGTGCCGCGGGCCTCCTCCACTCCAGCCGGAGAAGCCTCCCTGCTGTTTCTGGCCCGTGCCAGGTGCCCTCCTGTCATGAGCGTCTGTTTGCAATACAGTCTTTCCTCTAAGTCCGCCGGCAACTGCTCGGTTCGCTGCCTGCTGAGCAGCCCTGACGCCAAGGAGTAGACCAGGGTCACACACAGTAACTACGCTGTTCACTCAGCGTCTATTGAATGCAGGGTCACTCAAACTAGAATATCAATGTACATTACTATCCTGCTCACACACTAACAATCTAAGAGGAATGTAACACACACAGGGCAATCAGCGGGGGATAAGGAACCCGAGTCCCAGGGTCTCCATCTGCAGGTCCGGGGGTCGGCACCATGGGCACGGGAGTCATCAGCATCCTGCAAGGAAGGATCCCTGGAGCCAGGTGGGCAGCAGGGCAGACAAAGACCTCAGTCCAGCAGGGCAGAGCCTCTGGCGAGAATGCCAAGGGAGACCGGCGTGGCAGAGAGCTGCACTCTGGTGTGCGGAGTTCAGCTGTCTCAGCAGTGGCCTGGAGCTGCCTCAGGTATACCCTTAAGAGTAGTGTACTCCACCCTTCTAGGTCTCTTAATAGGTGTCTTGGCACCCCCGATGGCGAGTGGGGAATTTCCCCAGGGGCCTATCCATGGGTGGTCCCACTCTGCAGACGTGGCTACTCTGGTCACATGTGCAGGTATCTTCGGTGTGTCTCCTTGCCAGGTGTGTCTGCTCTGACTTCGGTAGTTTTCTTCTTGAACCAAAGTGTCATGGCGGACTGGCAGCCATCTTGGTTGACATGAGTGACTCCATTGTGCTTTACATACTTTAAGCATCCTGAGCAGACCAATGCCATTTTATTGGCCCTGCTCTCCACACCTCCCCACTAGGCATCTGGGCTGGCCAGGGCCGCCTCTGCCGCTCTTCCCCACTTCACACAGGGCTGCTTTGAGCTGATGGAACTTGAGGCACAGCAGGTACAGGAAGGACTCTGTGCCCTTCCCTTGAAGCAGGTCACAAGACCCTCACGTGAGAGGCACCCCCTGCCCCCGCCCTGCCAGCATCCAGAGGACAGGAGTATCCTAATGTCCTGCCACGTTATCCCACGACTTCCCAATCATCAGCAAACTAGCGTCAAAACGCTCTGGTCTGACAGCTTCTTCAGGTCCTCAGTTTCTTTGTGAAGGCTCCCATGTCCCATAAAGCTTGTTTCAAATAAGTTGGCATGATTTCTCTCCTATTAATCTGCCTTTTATTGTAGAAGCGCCAGTTGAGAACTTAGAAGGGTGGAAGGAAAAGTTACTTTTTCTCCCCTACATTGACCTTCAACTCTTGGTTCAAATGTCCTTTTCTTAATGACGTCCACCCTGTCCACCCTGATTCAACTGCTCACCCTGCACACTTCTGTCCCCCACAGCCCTCGGTACCTGCTACGTGCTGTAAAGTTTACTTCCTGCTCATGGTGAGTATTTATTGCCCGTCTCGCTCCTCTAGCCTGCAAGCTCCACCGGCCAGGGATCTCTTGAATGTGTTGTTTACTCAAATATCGCCAACTCCTAGTACAGTGCCCGGCAGGTAGAGGGAGGTCAATAATACTTTGCTTGGATTGGAAAAAAGGAAGAGAGGGACAGAAGGAGAGAAGGAGAAGGGAAGAAAAGACAGACAGAAAGGAAAAAAGTGAGGCATACTGTAACATTTTTCAAGGGGAAGGAGGCCACACAAGGAGACATTTTCTTCTGCTAGGTGGTTGTCCACTGGATTACCTTATTTGGCTGCTTAACATCAGAACTCAAGGGTAACTTCTCGGTCCAGTTTATAGGCTGGTCTTAGAATAAACGCACCTGAAATGGTGGCCCGTGCATGCAGCAGTTCCCCAGGGGCCACCTGAGGTTGCACGTCCAGACCCTCAGCTCGGGTCCCAGGTGCATGCCGGGACTCTGCAGTGAGCACGGTGCTGCAGCCCCCACGGGCCCCGCTGAAGCGAGACAGGATGGGAAAGGGGTCTGCACGTGGGGCTGAACCCCACACAAGAAATGAACAGCCAGGCCTCACCCCTGCCAAGGCTGCCCCTGGGGCTCCGAAGGAGTTCAGAGCAGTCCCCCCAGGACGGGCCACTTCGGCACATAGGTTCTCCCCAGCCTCAGGCTGACCGGCCCTGCGGGTTCCCCAGAAACACTTCTCCCTTAATGAGCTTAAATGTGGGGCCTTGTCCACCATCACAGTTGTTACCAGAGGTAACTTTTTATAACCTTTTCATAAAGCAAAGCAAACTTCTAATTACCAAACATCCGCCCGTCTTATTGTCCGTTGAATGACCTTCCTCCTTTGAACGACCTTTCTGCCCTCTGAGTCTCCAGGCACCTGACCTCATCCCTTGCTCAGAAGGTCACACACACCGCATTTTCCCTTTCTGTCTCTGCGCCTCCCGGGTCGGTGGGGTCTCTGATTCTCATGTAGGTGGGCTTCCCAAATGTACGTATGTAATTAAATGTGGTCATTTGCTCTTGTTCATCTGTCTCAGGTCTATCTGATTATTAGACCAGCCAGAAGAACCTAGAAGAGTAGAGGAAGTTCCTTCCTCCCTCACGGCACTCTGCCCCTTCCCACAAGACCACATCCTTGAGACAAGAGGAGGCTACAGGGCATGGAACAGTGGCCCTTGGTATTGGGAATCAGGATGCATGTTTACCTCATGCAAACCAGCTCCCTGGAAACCTGCAGGAGAGACTCAACACACACGTCCCAGAATCCTCCCTGGCTCTTGGCAAACGTGCCTTCTCCCACCCCCTCAGCCACAGCTGCGGGGGACGGGGTGTAGGGGGGCGCCGGAATGCAATGTGCCCCCTTTCCCTCCCTCCTCCTGTACTGTTCACACAGAGCAGCAAACACAGAAAGACTTCATTCACAGGCTCCATCGCTAGGCTCTCTATTGAAAGCTTTCTGAAAATGCAAATTCCTCTGAAGTGGATTCTTGTCAAAGGCTTTCAAGTTGCACACTCCCACTGAGAGCAGTGAAGCAGACCAAGACTTCCCTGGGCAGGAGGCTCCATAAAACTAATATTTACATTTAAAGGAGAAACTCTGAACTAGCCAGAAAGCAGAACTTGCTGCTGTGAAGTCAGGCTTGACAGCTGCAAGGTGGGAACGCAGTTTCTAGGGCCTCACTTCCTGGGGAGTGTGCCTGTGGGAAGCCCCCATTTTTGCTGCCTGTGCCCCACCCCAACCTTGGCCTTGCCCCCTTCCGTCTTTCATTCAGCATGGGCCTGAGCTGGTGCTTACGTGAGTCCTGGAGGCCAGGGGCCTCAACAAGACAGACGTGCTGTCCGCCGGACCCTCAAATCCAGCGACATGCACAAGCCACTCCAGGAACAAAGCCCCCCCTCTCCAGGGGCCCTGGTCTGCCTGCTCCCTCACCCCACAGGACTAGGAGGTTCTAGTCCCGGTCCCTCCCCAGAGAAGAGCCCCCCCTTTGGGATAACTTGCTCATAAGCATTGGGCATTTTAAGCCTTGTCCCCACACACCCCTTCCCACACTGCCCCCAGCCCCCACCTTGGCTATTCAAAGACTAGGCCCTTTCCACCTTCAGCCAGGTTTCCTGGGGTGCCCCTCCCTCCCCCAGAGGCTCTCCCTGGAGGAGAGGGGGTACCCTCCCCTCCCTCAGGCGGCAGATGAGATCCAAGCTGAGATTACTGAAGACAGGATTCCTCTCCTCTCACTAAGCTTTACACCCCCAACCCAGAGATTACTTGGTTAAAACGGACATTTTTTCCTTGATTACACAGGATTTGATAACATACCATTGCTACCTGCTCTTTTCACTTCTCACGGACATCTTTCCACGCAGTATCCCACTCTAAACAGTCGTGCGATGTCCCATCATGTTTCATGATGGATCAGATGAGACCGTGGGGCTCACTGCCCTGCTGACGCACAGCCCTGCCCAGTGAATGCCGGCTGTGACGCGAGTCAGACTCATTCCCGGGGCAGAGGGAAGCTGGCTCCATCAGGCCGGTGTGGACAGTGAGGGAAACCATGACTCACCACCACCTGCACAGTCTGCAGACAGAGCCTGCTCTGCAGTGCGCTTGCTCCAAGGGTCTCGTCTCTTTCTCCCCACCTTGCATAAAATCAGCTTCATACAGAGACTGACTCTCCCTGTGGTTGTATGAAGACCGTCAACAGCACCCAGGGCTATGAAAGGTGGCAAAATATGCCACTGTGGCATAAGGATTGTTTTTTAAAGATTTTATTTAGTTTTGGAGAGAGGGAGAGAAACATTGATGTGGAGAGAGAAACATTGATCAGTTGCCTCTCAAATACTCACCAATCCAAGACTGAACCTGCAACCCAGGACAACCTTCACGTGCCCTGACCGGGAATCGAACTGGCGACACCTCACTTTGCAGAACAACGCCCAACCAACTGAGCCACACCAGTCAGGCCTGGCATAAGGATTATTTTGATCTAAAAAGCACTTAAAACACAAAAACATTACCTAGGAACAGATGAAGTCACTGAGCTAGCAGAAAGATTATGGGCAACTTGGGGCCATTTTTCTATGTTGGTGCATCTGAGGATGATATCAGAGCATCTTGAAGTCATAAGACCCGTGCACGGTCTGCACGTGTAAGGCTGTGCACAGGAATGCTTTTTATAATTGCATAAAAGTTCACAACATTAGGGCACTGTTTAAAAATTAAAGTGTGGTTAATCATAGACATAATACAAAACACTACTCGGTTTTTTTAAATGACAACGTCAGTCCATAGGTGTTGACATCAAAGGTTATCCAGACTCCACCGTCCAGGTGGAAAAGCAGATGTCAGGACCACATGCACTGTGCGACCCCGTTTGTACGAGTGTGCCACAGGCTGCGAGATCTGTAGTAGGGCGAGACTGTGTCTAGTTCGTGTCAATGTAAGAACGTCAAAGCCTATAAAGAATTTTTACAAGATTTGACTTGAGCCAAACAGAGGATTCACCTAGAAGCAGATCTCAACAGACTGAAAAAAAAAATGCTTCATTAGAATGATAGTTTGCAGCTTGTTTTATGTACTTGGAATTGAGGGACGGAAGCGGAGGAAGAGTCCGTGAAGGTGGGAGAAAGCACGGCAGGAATTGGACAGTTAAAATTATGTGTTCTCTTGGGGGTGGTTTTACCTGAGGCGTCTACACGGAGGCCTTTCGAAGAAAGGTGTGTTGAACTAGATGCACAGAAGCAACGGGCAGGCCCTGCTCACAGCAGAGATAAGCCTTTTGCTGAAGACGTTATACGCCTGGGGTGTGACTACTGCCCAACTTGCCCAGTTAGGAAGTCGCCCAGTGAGGTGGCTTTCCAGAGAACCCCCTCTCTGTCCACGTTTGGAACGCTGCTGCGCTCCAGGATGCAAAACTGCGCTTTACACGTATCAGACTCTCAATAAATATCTGTTAGGTGCTACAAGCTCTTTGTTAAAAACCTGGAAGGCTAACCCCCTCATTGCTAATAAGAAGCTGGACAATAGTTTTTTCTTTTTTATTGTTTTGTTTTCTGTTTGTTTGTTTTGTAATTATTTGTTCATTCATTGTGCTGTGCACTTTATTTATTTATTTGTTTGTTTGTTTGTTTTTAGAGAGGGAAAGGAGGAGGGGAGAGAGAGAGAAAGCATCAACGTATGGTTGCTGGGGGCCGTGGCCTACAACCCAGGCATGTGCCCTGACTGGGAATCGAACCTGCGATGCTTTGGTTTGCAGTCCGAGCTCAATCCACTGAGCTACGCCAGCCAGGGCTGTTTTTGTTTTTGTTTTTTTTTCCTGTAAGAAATGTGCTGAGAAGAGGATCGTGATTGCTGCCTTTAGAATCACACCACGATGAATACATAAATTCTCCTGTGAACGAACTCTGCGTCCATAGGTCCCTGGCATGTCTGCTGGTGGCCAAGGGAGCTGGAGGCCAATGCAGGCTCTGCTGAGCTTCATCAACAGCTGATTGGTCTTTGCAAGTTTGCCTCTGAGACAAAAGAGTGACTTTTTGATGGTGAGCTGTCCTAGATCCATGCCCAAAGAGAGAGAGAGGGAAAAAAAGAAAGGAAGTTTAAAGACTTGAAGTTCTTAGAATTCTTTGAGGGTTATAAAACTAGATGAGCCCATGAATCTCTGAATCCCATTCCACTCTCCAGAGAGTAAGGAGAAGTTCCTAATTACCGTACAGTTATCGCGTTAACGTCAGATGGAAGAAGAGTTTTGAAAGAATGCAAGTAGAAGACAATTCTTTCTACCACGATAACCACAGAAGTGGTGACAAAATGACTGTTGTCAGAGACAGAAATGAAAACTTCAAGCTGAATAAAATCTCTGAGCTTCCAAGATTAGACAATGACACAGAGTTCAGTATTAGAGTTCAAGGGAAAACATAGCATTTAAAATATTTTATGTGCATCTTCATTTTTATCTTGCCCTGACTAAGAAAATTAAAAAATAAATCTAAGCTCGCTTACAAAAATATGTCAATAAAACATTTCATTTAAAAACCATATAGGACACCTTAAACTGATATAATATTAATTGAAACATAAAAAATTATTTTAAAATACACAGAGGACACTAGGAAGAAGAGAAAATCAGATTAGGAGAAATGTGAAGCCAGGAGCATGACTAATATACAAAATGGTTACACTGCAAGTCCTCTGCACTCGCTAGGTATGGGCCACAATCCGATTCTGAGCTTCCTGGTGGCCCATGCCAAAAAAGAAACAAGACCAGCTGCAGTATTCACAATGTCCATTAGATAAAAAACAAATCAGGTATTTCATTCCTACACCCGAAAGGAATTTCTCCCATGTGTTTTCATCCAGACCGCCCATGTAATACAGTGAACAAGGCCCTAAAAACATCCTCATAGTAAATAAAACAATGGGTGTCACGGCGTTGGTGCTGATGGCCTCCCTTATTGAAATCAATGGCGTGACTCAGTGTGGGTTCAAACCAAACGGTCCTACCAGGGGCGGAAAGCATGGGACCCCCAAGATGTAGTTAGTATTCATTCCCCAGATAAACCTAACAAGGACTAGAGCACTCGTGCATCAATTGCTGTGTGACTGCCAGTCACACAAGTCTCCCAAGTGTTTTTTAATTCAACTGAATCTCTGCTAAAGACCAAACAAGCATGAGCTAGAGGCTGTAGCTATGGTCTGATAAGGGTCCAGAATGTTCTGTTGCTGGTGAGCTGAGCTGAGAGCAGTCTTCTGAAAGTCAGGAAGAGAGGCCACCCAAGCAAGCCCTAGGCAGGCCACGTCAGGCCCATCTGCACGCAAAAATGACCAAGGCCCAAATTCTTAGGCTAGCGTTCCTGACCTTTTCCGGACCCCAAAGCCATGTTTCATGCTCCCCCCAAACATGTGTAATAATAATACTTCGGAACTGGTTGGTTGAAAAATATACAAAAGACGGACTGCTTTTTAAAAATTACACCTGTAGCCCTGGCTAGTGTGGCTCAGTGGATTGAGTGCCAGACTGCAAACCAAAAGGTTGCCGGTTTGATTCCCAGTCAGGGCACACGCCTGGGTTGGGGTCGGGGTCTCTGGCCAGTGCAGAAGAAGTGTAGGGAGAAAGTGCACAGCAGACAATTCCTCCATTTTGCTTCCAAGCTCTGTGCTAGATGGACCTCGGCCACCCCTCTGTCCTACAGGACATCCAGGTGGTCCACTGCAGGAATGATATCGTGCCTAGGCTTGGTGAGGTGCCTCGGATGCTCTAATAGAACATAGGTCCCCTGAGTTTGCCCGAGTACTGTTAACAATTCACAGAAAAATATTGATTGTCTCGGCCTTTTCCTCGTGATGACAATATGGCTGCCACAGCCCTGAATAGCAAGTCCATACAACAGAATCTCAAGCAAGAAGGAAGATGATGGGCAAAAAAGGCTATTCACCCTCCACAGTCAGGGAAGAAATTTCTCCCAGAAGTCTCCCCAGGGGACTTCCTCTTGTGCGGGATTGGCTGGACTTGAGTCACATGCCTACCCTAGGACCAATCACCGGTAACGAGGAACGGGAGTGTCACAGGTGGTTTTATCTACTTGCGGTTAGTTAGCCCCTGAGGCTAGGCCCATTGCTGCTGTCACGAAACCAGGGCTCAGTAAGCGTGACAGTGAGCAGAAGACCAGCAGTGTCTGTCATAGCTAGTACCCCCGTCCCGTCACTGTCTAATGTGGAAAACCAACGTAAGCCAAGTCGTCAAGAAAGCCATGGAGGTCCACTTTGCAAAGGAATGATGACAGCATCCCTTCTAGAAATTTAACCTAAAATTAATTAAAACTAAATAAAATTTTAAGTCTAGCTCCTTAGTCACACTAGCCCATTTCAAATGCTCAACAGCGACCTGTGGTTACTGCACTGGACAGGGACGTCTCCATCAGCACAGAAGGGTCTATCGGTGAGCCTGCTTCTCCAGCGGCCTCCGCCAGTGAGCGAAGAGAGGCTTCCCCTAAAGCTACGAGGTGAAGGCTTCACTGTCCCCCAATGCCAGGCCACTGTCACAGGCCTTCACTCAGCACAACGGGAGGCTGGTGAGCTGAGCAGCCTCCAAGCCAGTGACCACAGGAGCCTTCCCACCTGCCAGGGTCCCCTTGAAGGCACAGGTCTGGGCGTGAAACCCCTTTCCATTCCAACTGAGTCCTTGATTCATCTCTCTCTAGCCAGAGAGATGCTGGTGGGGAGGTGGACTGGGCAGGTGATGTTATCCGAAGATTAATATTGAATACACCAGGCTCCTTGCATGCAGTGATCATGAAGTCACCCACTGCCCATATCCCCCAGACACGCACACTTAGCCAGAGACTAAGGGCTGCAGAATGTGCACAGAAAGAGATGTGCAGGTGTGAGGGCAGGGAGCCACGGTGAGCGCTGGCCCTCAGGTTCATGCTGCAGGCACAGCTGACCTTGTATTTCATCATCTGTAAAGGGGGGGTTGTTCTGAGCCTTGGCAGAGCAACGGGGACGCCTCCCACGGTAACCACCCTTTGGTCCCCTCTGACCTCGAGGGGCCTGACTGGTAAGGGTGCCTGGTTGGGTGATGTTGGTACTATCCATGGGGAGGTAGAGTCTTTAATCAGCTCTTAGAGACCACGGCCACTTCCTGGCCACCCTGGGTCAGCGCCATGCTCCTGAGAGGCTGGAGCCTGGGAGTGCTGCGCAGGCTCTGACTTGCTCGGACCAGGCAGATGTTAAAGGAGAACCACGTGGAGTGGCTTCAAGGTCACGACCATATGTCCTCACAGCACGGGTCAGCTGCCGATCCCCTCCCTGCTCTGCGGAGACTCAGATGCTGCCAGATCCCCACGAAGCCACCTCGAGGCCATGGGCGGGGTGGCAGGTACCGACACCCTTTCCGAGTTTGCCTGCTGAGGCTGTGTTTTGCCGACATCACCTCGGGCTGAAGGTGTGGACACGCTGTTCCTGCTCGGGAGAGCTCGTCGCTACTCCTGGGTCCGAGCAGAGCTGGTCCGCCCCGTTGCACACGGGCTCTTGCAGCGGTTCCTCCCGGGGCCTCTGCCAGGTGCCCCTCGATGGGTGGGAGGGGGTGGGCTGGGGTAGGATGTCTCCGGCACAAGGTGAGTATAGGTGTCTGCTGCTGGAGGATTGCCCCCTGCTTTTCCGGCGGTGACGGCCTCTCACAAAGGATCTCCTTCGTCCCTCCCCAGAAGAGGAGAAGAGGAAACACAAGAAGAAGCACCTGGTGCAGAGCCCCAGTTCCTACTTCATGGCTGTGAAATGCCCAGGATGCTATAAAATCACCACCATCTTTAGCCGTGCACCAAGGGTAGTTTTGCGTGCTGGCTGCTCCACTGGCCTCTGTCAGCCTGCAGGAGGGGAAGCAAGGCCTACAGAAGGATGCCCCTTCGGAAGGAGGCAGCACTAAAAGTACCCTGAATCCAGGTGAGTAGGGAACCATCCCAATGAACACATTTTGGATACAAAAAAAAAAAGGATTGCCCCTGCCCCCCAACTCCCTCAGCCAGGACAGACGTGCCCTGGGGGGCCTACCCACCTCTTCTCCTAACACCAGGTGTTGGTACAGTAGGGGCAGGAGCCAGGGCCTGTGGCTCCCAGCATTTCCTCCCAGTGTGTTTAACAAACCTTCATCACACCCCTAAAGTTCAGGTAACACTGACACACTTGACCCGCCCCCCCCATGAACACCAGCTGTCACAGGGATTAGCATTCCCAGCGCCCCGAAGGGAAGGGAGCCAGCCCTGGCCAGGTAGATGGGTAGATGATGAAGGGGGAGAGAATGTCCCACCCCAAAGTGTGACCCTTTGATGTGTGCATTATTTTGAGCTGAAGGCCTTCAAGACCTAGCAGACTGGGGAGGGGGGTACTTTTTACCTCCTCCTTCACTGCCTGAAAGAATTTAGACAGGGGGCATGTTATCAGCAAGACAGCCCTTAACAGAGATAGCATTCTTTCATCGGAAACAAATCTGCGTGGCGGGAGCGGGAGGGGGAGGGGAGGGTTGAAGGAAGAAGGAGAAAGACAGAGAGGCAAGCGGAGAAAGGAGATGCCAGCAACTAGACCAAGACTCGTCCCTGTTTTCCGAGTCAGCACTTCTCTGCCATTCTTCCTACCAAGTTCTGCTTGAGAGAACACGAGAAGCAGATTGCTTCAGAAACCCTAGTTGCACGTCTTGTACCTTGTGCTGTGGTGGGGAGGGGGGGGGGAGAGAACAAGGCTCCAGAGAATCAGAAAGCAGACCCCGGGCCTCCCCACGGGCGGGCGCAGAGTCCGGCGAAGGCGCCGGCCTTCCTGCTGCCGAGAAGAGCTCCCAGCAAAGAGTCCGGCCCTGGTTTTGCTGCACCAGCTTCTGTGCTGAAACAGATACTTTTTAATCTACCCAAATGTGGGCAAGTTCTTCGTGCCTCCTTTTTTATCATCTGAAGACGGGGATAAGAAGGGATGGGACTTATCTCGTGGGGTGGCTGAGAACACGTGCAGAGTGCTCAGCACGTGTTAGATGCGCAGTGAGAAAAGATCACTGAAATCGGTGCATCTTGTCCACGGTTTCTCCGTCCGTCCGTGCAAACACTGAGACGTTCACGAGCACTGAACGCGACTTTGCCCGCCGCATTCACCGGCGGCTGCGTTTCCCCACGGCTCTCAGCACAGGGGCTGCTGCACAGCAGGCATGGACACCGTTGTTGAGGGGGTGGGTGAGGAGACCCCTCTCTCCTTCCCCCTTCCAGGCCCTTCATCCGTCTCTTCCTCCGTCTTCCTTCCCCGCTTCCTTCCTTCCATCCTAGAAAGGCAGTCAAGTACAGTAGCTTAACTCCAAGGTTTTGCTTTCAACTGTGCTAAAATATGTGACGTCATCTAAACTTACCACACGAACCATTTTAAGCGGACAGTTCAGCGGCACTGGGTACACTCCCACTGTTGTGCAACCATCCCCGCCAGCCACCTCCGGAGCTGTCGCATCTCCCCGAACAGGAACTCTGCGCCCACTGAGTAATAACTCCCTGTTCTCCCCTCTCCCGGGCCCGAACAGCCACGGGTCTGTGCTCCGCCTCTCTGAATCCGGCTACTCTAGCTACCTGGTGCGAGTGGAATCGTACAGCGTGTGTCCTTTTTGTGACTTAGCCCACGGGGTTTGGAATCACAAACTCTGTGTGAGCCTGAGCAGCGTAACCTTCCTGAGCCTCCACTTCCTCATCGGTAAAATGACTATAAAAATAGTACCTGTGCCATAGGGTTGTGGTAGGGTTTAGATGAGATTAAAAAAAAAAGACATCCCAGTTTCACTTTTTATCTTTATTGAACACCAGAGAAATCAGAAAAGGCCTTTTTGTCTTACAGTATTTTCTAGGGCATGGACAGAGAGAAGGGGAGTTCTTGGTATATGGCCTGTTTTTTTTGTAAAGGTCTTTGTAGTTTCCTGTTTATTTAGTGCCTGAACCTTTGCCATGTAAATAATGCAGGCAGAGATAAACCTCGCTGGCCCTGGACTCTGACCTTTGCTCAACACCCGCCCCCTGTCCGATCCGTCCTCCATCCCAGCACTGGAAAGTCTGGAATCACTGACCTGCACATCAGAACCAGAAAAGAAAGAGACGGAGCAGGTGGGTTTTAGACAAGGCTCGTGAGAGAGGACGAAAATGACAGCAGCTCTGAAAGTTCTTCCCCCATTAGCTGCTCTGTCTTCCTGTCTTCCTCCAAGAGGTGACTTCAGTGGGGTCAAGCCCCTTTCCATTCACTTCACAGGATTCCCACCAGCTTGTCAGCCTCTGAACCAATGGCCACCCAGCCTGTGCATGGCTGGCCCTGCCTTAGGCAAGCACCCAGCGAGTTAGTCCTGCTCCCTCACTGTGGCCGAGCACGCCCACAGCATCCACCTGCCGCCCCGTGGCAGCATTTCCTCCACCTGCGGTTCCAAGGAGAGGCTCTGGGTGGTGAAACTCCACGTCCTTTTTAAATGCCCGATAGTTCAGCTGGAAATCAAAACCCAAGTTCAATGGTGTTTCTCTTCCATTCTTTGAAAATATTATTCAATTCTTTTCTAAAGTCCGGTGTTGCTGTTAAGAGATCTCAAGTCAGTCTAATATTTTTTGTGTTCCTTCCTCGGCCCCTGCCAGCCAGCTGCCGGGAATGCAGACGTGACACTTAGTAAATAGGGGCTGAGTGGCTGACTCATTGAGCTGCAGCTGGAGCGCAACCTCGATGCCAGCTCAGGGCCTCTTGCTTCAACGCTCCGGCTTTTCCCACCCAAGTGTCTGCATCTCCGTCCTGGGCAAAGTCGGTACGTAAAATGGCAAGAGGCCATATCCACCAGACCCCAACAAGTGTACGGAGTCCTTCTCCCAAACACTGGCTAAAGCAACGGCTGGATGGTCAGACTTCGGGCAGCACTCCTTGTGCACCTTGGAATCCTCACTGCTTGCACACAGTGGGTGCCCACACAAGGTTTGTTTTATTTGGATGGACATACAAACTCTCCAAGAAGAGATGGTTCAGCACAGTTTCAGGGGGCAGGACACAGGGTAGCCAGAAGAGCAGATTGGGGGTGTTATGCCAAAGGTGAGAGCTGAGTGCTCACAGGTTCTTGGCCTAAAGGGCCTTCGGTCTACACCGTCTAACGGAGAGGAAGCAGAGAGTCTGGACCATCGCTGTCCAAGGGCGCAGCCTCGGACCACACGCAGCTATGTACATGTAATTTAAATAAAATATAAAGCTCAGTTCCTCAGGTGCACTGGCCAGATTTCAAGTGCTCAGTAACAGCCACACGTGGCTAGTGGACACTGCGGGGGACAGTGCAGATAATATAAAACACTTCCATCCGCAGAATGGACCCTTAGCATTGAAGGGGATGCATTCCCACTTCTGACCTGGCCTGCTGACACCCTCCTGTCCCCTCCCTTCCCCCAGCAGAGAGATCAGAGCGCCTTAGTGTCCCTTGTCTGTCCCCAGACCCTCTGCCCCATAGGGAGCAGCACCCTCTGCCTTCTTGGCTATACCCTGCCGGTAGTTAAGTATTTGTTGAAAAACATAATAAGCCCTTAATGTGTTTTTGTTAAATGCTGAAGGCCCCAAACCTGAGTTAACCGACAGAAGTAACAGAAGAAACCCCTGCCTCCTCGCTTTGCTCACCTGCTCACCGCCTTCTCAGGTGCCCACACAGTCAGGGGCAGGCCCTGGCTCTGAAGTTCCTCTCCCCAAACCACACACACTTCTCAGACATCTGCGCCAGGTCTCGGAACGACCTGACTTGTGAGGTATATTTGTTCACATGGTGATTTTCTGTCTTCCTCCCCCTTTTGCTGCCCTACACCTCCTGGGTGCTCAGTAAGTAATGGATGGATGGACGGACGGACGGACGGACGCACGGCTCAGACAAGAGCCCCCCCAACACACACACACACACACACACACACACACAAGCACCGTGGAAGCTGCCCCCCTTAGAGGGCTGGGGGAGAAAGCCCCTGCCCCCCGCCCAGCAACCGGCTGGAGCGTGGAGAGCCCGGCTTGCACGCTCGGGGTATGGCCCGACGCAGCCCTCGGGGGCGTGTCCTCCCCGGGCCGGGCGCCACCGCCAGGACAGTCCAGCAGCGGCGGCTGAAGTGCGGCGGCTGGGCTGCGGCGGCTGCAGAGGACTAGCCCCAGAGAGCATGAACCGCGAGCTGGAACGGCTAGCGGCCCAGCCCGCGCTCCTGGGGGAGCCTCCCTTCCAAGAGCTGGTGGAGGCGGCGGGCGGACGCGGGCAGGTGTTGCTGGTGGGCGAGCTGTGGGAGCGCGAGCAGAGCCGCGCACTGCTGCGGGACTTCGCCCGGACCGTGTTCCCGACCGAGCAAGGCGCGGGCAAGCCAGGCAACGTGGTGGCCGAGGGCGCTGGGCCCGGCGCTCCCAGGGCTCCGCTGGCGCCCAGGACGGCGAGGGCGCGCGCTATCCACTCGCCGCTCGTCTTCGTGCTGTGCCGCGCAACCTCGCTGGCCGCCAGGGAGCCGCGGCGCCGCCTGCGGGAGATGCTGAGGGATGTGCGTGACCGGCGGGCGGCCGGCGCGGCGCTGGTTGGGGTACTGGTGGCTGAGGCCGGGCCCGAGGACGCGGTGGCGCCGGCGTTGCGACGCTTGGAGGCTCTGCTACGCACAGTGTTCGGCAGCCAGGTAGGGGGACCGGTGCAGGCGGCGGCCTACAGCCCCAGCCACCCAGCCTCCAGCCTGGCGGTCCAGGCAGCTGCTAGCAGGGCACTGCAAGACGCCGGTCCCGCGCGACCAGGTGAGGGGGCGCGAGGTGGACGGTGGCGGGGGAAGGCCCCCAGGTTGCAACTCTTTAGCTCCCCTCTTTGTGGTGCACCGAGGCAAACGGGCCCCGAAAGGGGAGGTGCCTACATTGAGCCTCCCAGCTAGCTTGGAGTAGGCCCGGGGCCAGGGGTCGAGTCTGTCCAGAGAGGATCCTGAGTGCCTGGGAGACAGGGGCTTAGGAAAGCCGAGGGAATAAACAACAGAGTTGGACTCTGCTGGTCCAAGATCTGGGAGCTGGGGGGAGTTGGGAAGGGGGAGGAGATGGGAAAGACCTGGGTTGTGCAAGTTTCAAAGCGGAATTAGGACCGAAATGGGACAGGGGGGAGCCGCTTGGAGGTGCCAGAGGCTCCCAGGACGCTGCGCAGCTGGGGATGCGAAGGTGGAGGAAGCGCCAGTGTGTGAGCGCAGGCGGCTCCTAGGAAGAAGGGAAGGGACAGATGCCGGGCCTTGGAGGTGTGGGGCAAGGGGGTGAGGAACTACGGGCACAGAATTTTCTAGTCCCTCTTGGCCACCCACCCTGGTTGCGCGGCCCCTGCTGTGTCTCCCGCCCTTCGCTTCGCACTCTCCCGAAGTGTGGGGAGGAGAGTGAGGGTCTTTTTCTGCTGCCGTAGTCAGCGGGGTCAGAATCTCCTCCATCCTGGCGCACAAGGGTTTTCCAGGAGCCTTTCGGTATCCTCGGGTTAAAATACGGGCAGGAAGTCTGGCGGATCTGGCAAAGCTGGAAGATGCGGGGGGGGCGCAGGCTTTGCATTCCCTGCTCCCCTCTCCCCCGCCGCCAACCTGCTCCTCTCCAAGCCCTCCAGCCTTTCCTTTCAGCCTCCGCCAGGCCAAGCCTTCTTGTGAAGGCAGAGGCTGGGCTTGGCCTCCCGGGGCGCTGCTGTGTCAATCAACCCAGACATGCCACCCTCGCAGGGGGGCCTTTTCCAGCAAGGAGCCTCGGTGTGACAGACGTACCTGCCAGCCTGGCCTGCCTGGGGGAAGGCCATCCTTCTCAGCTGTAGAGCCTGCCCTAACCTTTGCCCCCTCCCCCGCCGCCCCCTCCCCACTGGGGCTCAAAACCCCTTTCCACTGCCTCTGTGGAAAATTTGAAAGCCCAGACCTGCGTGCTGAAAGACACAGGGCATGTCCTGAGATGGACTGTCCTTCCGACTGTTGATGCCAGCGGGCTCACTGACCTGGCCCCTTGGGGGACAGTTTTCTACCCCACCGACAGCTGGTGCTTAGAAAATTCTCTGAGCCCTTGGTGTCTTAACCCTTTCCCATTCCCAAGGAATAGCTTTTAATTCCCCAGAGCCAAGCTTGCTCTGACCTGCTAAGCTTTTGGGCACACATGCAGTTGCCTGGGATGGACAGCTTTTTCTTTCATTCCGCCTCTTCACCGGACCAATCACATCGAATCCTTCAGAGCTGGACTTCCTCCTCCAGGAAGCCTTCCCTGACCCCCCTTACTCCTTTGCAAGGTCAAAAGCAAAATCCCCAAATCCACCTCTGCTCTCTAATCTCTTACCACATGGGGGTTTTTTTGTGTCACTTTCCCTTGTGAGTTTATTCACAACTATAGTCCCATTTCCCAGCACCTGCCTGGCATGCAGAATCCTTGTTTAGAGTCTAACACAAGAAATTTTTACGCTTTGCATGTGAATCGATCTCTACTGCGTTAAACTCATTTCTGCTTTTATTTAAAAAAAAAAAGACATACTAAACCATATGAAACCTTTCCTTGATGACTAAGTGCCGTGAGTGTAATTATACCTGGTTGTCCACTAATTTCTTCCAGGCTTTTGCAGTGGGCAGCACCACCCATGCATTCACATTGCTAAGGTTCTGCTAGCAACTGCACCTGGCTTTTTAGTCTCCCAACCCCCTTCCTCACGGCCTCATGGTTATTCTGATACTTTTAGGCTGCCTGCCTCCGGGCATGCCCTTTTACCCAGTTTATGCCTAATCCAGCTGCCTTTAGGTTGAAAAACTAAGAATCCGGTCTTGTTAGAACTGAGTGCAAATTAGGAGTAAATAAGCCCCAAGTAAAGAAAAACAAACAAGGCTTGCTGTGTTTGGCTGCCTGCAGTCTTTTTTTTTTAAAAACTCTGTTGCAGTTACCTTATTCCAGGATGGTCGGGGCTCTCAGGAAACTAGAATCAACATATGAGTGTTCTGTGCGTGATTATCAACAGAAGATTAGGTCTATTCATGTTAAGAACTAGTTTGAACTAAAACTCGGGGAAGTGACTGCTCCTTCAGTGTTTGTTTTTTAGTGTTTAATGTTTTCTTTCGTGCTATGTAATTGTCATTCATTTCATGTCCTTCTCTCCCTGTCCCTTCCCCAACATGGTACCCACACCACAGGGTGTTTGTGAGGATGAAACAGTGTAGTCCGTATAAATATAAAAAGCAATCCTTTTCTTCTTGTTTTTTTTTTAAGCACAAAAACTCCACCCCCTTTTGCAAATCAGAATCTTTGTTTTGAATCGGGCAGCAGCTGAAACTAGGGCAGGGGACGGTCAAAGCCCTGGGTTTGCTGAACAGAAAATCTCCCAGTCAGTCGAGCACCATCTGACCTGCTGTCTCGGGCACCCTGTGTTCCTTCTAGCGGAAGGAGCCTGGGAGAGACCCGGCCTCCCGGCACTGCTGGCGTGCTTCTCCTGGGGCCCCTGGAGCCGGAGGAAGGACCCATATGCCACCTCCCCCAGTGGCCCAGCTCACGGTGAGTGTGTTGTCTTCCTGGCCTCCTGGCCCCCGAGAGCCAGGTGCTTGGGATTATGGGAGCCGTCACGTGCACAGGGGCCTCAGGGAGAGAGGGGCCTAACGTCCAGGGAGCACTGGCCATGTGTGCAGGGTGCGGTGCCCCTGTACAGGCTCGGTCAGCAGGGCTCTAGCCCCAGGAGCCTCCACCTAGGGAAGGCGGTGTGGGCAGGGCTGACACTCAGGTGTAGGCCATGTGCATGGTGAGGCACAGGGAGCCAGACGCATGGTCTCACAGAGCAAGTGACATGGGAGTGGGCATCGGGGGATTTTCTTAGGCAGAAATAAGATCTGAGGAGGGGGCATCACGAACAAAGGCTTGCCAGCAAGCAAAATGTCGTGCTCAGAAAGGGGACCGCTGTCGAGAGTGTCAGGGGTGCGGAAGGAGACTGGTGAGGGCCGAGGCTGAAGCGGAGAGGTGGCACCGAATGGGGACCCCGACCTGAGTCTCGGGGATAGTGAGCCCCTGGCAGTTTCTGAGCAAGGGTGCGGAGACGAAGGGTGAGTTTAGAGATGTGACTGGACTCTAGGAACAGAGAGCCACCAGGAGCAGAGCCCAGCTAGGAGGGCACTGCACAGTCCCAGGAGGGGCATCAAGCGGCCTGGACCCGAGGGGAATGTGTCAGAGTGGAGAGGAGGGAGCTCGCCAGCCCAGGAGCCGTTTCTGGGGCAGAGCCGTCGGGCTGCCAAGTGGAGGCGAGGGAGAAGGAAACGGGAAAGACAGCGGGGCCCACAGAGGCACTCCGCAGGCTGTGCTGTGGCCTAGTCGTCTGCTGCCTGCCCACGAGGATCCGTTCCAAGAAATGCCTGGTCAGGAGATTTCGTCCCGGTGCGAACGTCGTGGGGTGCACTCACACCCCCGGGGGGTCTGGCCCGCTGCTCCCCTGGGCTGAGTGGGGCGGCCTGTTGCTCCTGGGCTCCGAGACGGGACTGCACATTTCTGCACAAAACAACACGAGATTAAATCAAGCACCGGAGCAAATGGTGCAAGTAGGAGGAGTATCGTCTAAAACAGGGGTGTCAAACTCATGTTCACTGGGCGGGGGGGGTCACATCAGCCTCAAGGCTGCCTCCAAAGGGCAGAATGTAATTTTAGGACTGTGTAGATGTAACTACTCCTTAACTGTTAGGGAGTTGAAATTGCATTCGGCCCTTTGAAGGCAACCGCAAGGCTGATGTGGCCCCCACTGAAAGTGAGTTGGACGCCCCTGGTCTAAAATGACAAAAAGTGCAGTAGATATGAGAACCAGTAAGGCGGCCCTCTGTCACCATTACCGAGCACTGTGCGCTGTGCGTTCTGGAACTCGCGGCACCTTTGTACGACTGGCAGCCAGCAGGTGTGCTTGCACCCACGCCCCCACAGGGCCACGGGGACTTTGCAGCTCCATGATGCTCTCTCTCGTGGGACCACCATCTATATGCTGGTCCATCGCTGACCGAAATGTCCTAATGGGGCGCGTGACTGTCCTCAGGGGAGCAGGTTGTAGCCAGTGGCATGTGTGTGCCCCCACCCCCAAAGTGTGCTGGACAGCAGAGCTTTTAAATAGAAACAGTGGGTAGTGCTTTAAAATGAACTTCCATGGTGTCCCTTTTATTTAAAAAAAATCATTAGTTGATGTTACTTACCAGTGTTCTATTGCTGAGGAACAAGTTACCACCAGTTTAGCAGCTTCAAACAGCACCCCTCTGTTCCCTCACCCTTGCGAGGGTCAGGAGTTGGGCCCAGCTAAGCGAGGCCTTCTGTCCGGGGCCTCGCGAAGCTGCCTCGGGCTGGGCGGGGCTGCGTGTCTTTCTGGGGCCTGGATCCTCCTCCAAGCTCACGCGGTTGTTGGCGGGATTCATTTGTTTGCCGCTGAGGGACCAAGGTCCCTGCCATCTCCCCGGCTGTCCCCTCCGAGAAGCCCCGCAGTTCCCTCCTCCCACAGGCAGCTGCTCCTGCAGTGGGCGGGGACTCTCCAGGCTCCTCCTACAAGTAACCATCACAGGAGTGGCCTCCTCACCTTTGAGCGCAGGTGCCCAGATCAAGGGAGGGACTGTCCTGTCATAGACCCAGAGGTCGCCCCCCACTCAAGGGAGGGGGTTATGCAGGATGAGAACCCCAACGGGTGGGAATTTTTGAGGCCTTCTTAGAGTTCTGCCTATCACAGTTGAAAATTCAACAACTACAAATGAAGGAACACAAATATTAAAAAATTATTCACCTAATTCCATCAGTCAATGGTTAATACACACCCATGTTTGGGGTAGACCATTCCGGCCCTCTATCTGGGAACCTATACTTCTTGTACTATTTAAATTTTAATAAATTTACTTCTATATTGTGTATGAATCATCTGCATCAGATAGTTGATATTCTTAATTGCGAACATGTTAACTGCAACCTCTCCGTCATCATTTTGGATGTATCTGCCAACTAAAGGAAAATAAATCAAAGGGACAAAATAATATCATGTAAATCTTAACTTTCCTTTGCAGCATATTACACATCGCTTAATCTCCTACAGAACTGAGTGTATTGCAATGCAAATCGCATTAACAGACTCTACACATGCATTTATAATATGGGGAATAACATGGAATCATACCAACATTGATACACACGTTTTTGGAATCTGCTTCCTTCACCAGTAGAGTATCGTGAGGGTGCAGTGTCCCATGGCAGTAATTACATGTCAACAGCGTCTTTCACCCTTTTTTTTTTTGAGGTGATTATAGATTCACACACACCTTAAGAAATCACCCAGAGAGATCCTGCGTACACTTCACCCGGTTTTCCCCAATGGTCACATCTTTCAAAACTGTAGGATACTATCACCGCCGGACATTGGCATTCAAACAATCCACAGATCTTACTCAGATTCCCCCAATTGTACTGGCACGCCCGTGTGTGTGTGTGTGTGTGTGTGTGTGTGTAGTTCCATGGAACTTTAGACATCGTTCTGAGCGCCTGAATCCCACGGTGTGGGTGAGCCGCTCCGTGCACCCGGTCCCTCCGTTGGACTTGGAATCAGCTGGGACGTAACTGATCTCAGGGAAAGAAACTGGCTCGAACTAGCGTGAGCAGCAAGGGCTTCGTTACCTCCCCTGAAAGAACGTGGGGGTGAGTTCGGCGTCAGGGCCAGGGGCCGGGTGATCCAGGGGCACCCGGCAGGGACTCGGGTTCCTCTCTCCTGTCTGCGGGGCCGTCCCCCTGTTGTCCCACCCTTGCTCTGGCAGCGGGGCGGCTGCAGCATCTACCCCAGTCACTCCTAGTGATTTCCTCAGGACAACATCCTGCAAGTGGAATTGCTGGGTCAGAGGGTATGTGTATTTTTAAGGCTTTTGATATACACGTTGTTGTTGTTGTCTACGTAGATAGTCACTGGAGCCTGTGTCCTCCCTTCCGTTCCCAGCCTACTTGCTGAGAAACCCCATCTTCTGATCAGGGGATCCCCGCTCTTGTGTTCCAGGTCACTTGCAGGACCCCGAGGAGGAGCTGGCGCTGACGGTCATACTTCCCAACGGAGACTGTGAAGACCCTGGAAAGGCGTCTGGGGCCTGCCATGGAGCTGTCCACGCTCCCCCAGCTCCCCCCGAGCCTGCTGGGGACTCCAGATGAAGGCTGCGCCCCTGGGCCACCCCAGCTCCGACCTGCAGGCTGGGGGCTAGCTCCTCGTCACTGAGTCCTTGGGCCTCCGTGTTGACAGTGGGGTGGCCATCACTAGGGAGACCCCACCTTCTGGGGGGCTGCCGCATGGTCAGATTCCCAGTCAGGCAGCGGGACTTACGAAGCGAAGCCGGACCTACGAAAACAGACCATCTGAGAACCTGCCCCCCACCTCATATTTGGTCACGCTGGTCAGAGTGAAGTGGTTTCTTCGCTCTGTGCCTTGGTTTCTCTGTGCCACTGAGAAGGAGGGTGGTCTACTTGGAGGCCCTGTGGCGCAGTGGCATCCCAGGGTTGCGTGCATGAGCATCCATCATTCCAGGTGTGGCTGGAAAAAACCCTGGACCAGAAGTCATCAGATTGAGGGGGCAGGGAGTCTTGGACCAGTCACTCAACCAGTGGCCAGGCTACCTGCCCCCTGGAAGCACTAGAAGTGTGTGTGTGTGTGTGTGTGTGTGTGTGTGTGTGTGTGTATTGGCAGGGTCACTGGGACTGTGGTGTGCCCCTGGCATGTAGCAGGCATCTCACATTATGTAGGACAAACTCCAGCAGCACAGAACTGTTGTTCTGCTCAAAATGCCCATCATGGCACCTTTGAGAAACTCTGAATGAACCCATCTCTTCTCCCCGTCAAACCCTAGGAAGAGTCCCCTAGAGCAGAGAGGGTTGGGCTTCCTGGGACCTTTGCTCCTGAGCAAGCCGGAATAGAGACCCCACTGCCACCTGGGCCGGAGGGGCCGGAGTCAGGATGCTCCGTGTGCTGCTGGCCCGGGACGGAAATGGCCTTACACCCCCGTGAGAAGAAAGGGCTCTCTTTCTTCCTCATGGTGACAGCGACTTTCTGGGCCGAGTCCTTGGGAATAAGGGTGCTGGGAACTGCCCACAGCACCAAACAGAAGGGAGAGTGGGTTGTGGATTAAGACCATCGGGCATAAGGCTTGCTCTCAATCTCAGGCCCTAACCCAAGGTCAAAGCCGAGCCAGCCCGAAAGTGCTGAGGGCCTGAATCTTTTCATTCTCTGTCTGTGAGCTGGACAAGGTCAGCGATGTCCCCTTAAAAGCCAGCAGGGCCATCTGCTTGCTCAGAGGGAATTCTTCATCGCCTCCCCTGTCTTCCTCGCCTGCCCCTGGAGGGAGCCAGTCTTTGGAATGGCCAGGATGGCTCTCGATCTTGCCGCGCAAGCAGCTACGCTCACTCCCTCGTGCAGCAGACGTACGGTTGTGCCTACTGTTTGCCAGGCATCCTGCCAGGTGCTACGTACCCTCCTTATTTCTGCTCTCTCTGTGACGGTGCCAAAATGTGGAACGGGAACCTCCTGTGGCTGGGGGTCGGGGGGTGATCTTAACGAGGACCCCTTTTTTCTCTACAACGGGCAGCCTGATCCCTATCGGCATAAAGGCAGGCAGGACGCCACCTTATCTGCAGCGCACAGCAGCCTGAGTCATTTTAATCACGTGAAGCTGTCGCACCGGTAGGAGGGCCCAGCTGGCTTCCTTCTGCACAAGAATGAACGCAATGGGTTACTGCTGATGTTGTTTATGGGGGGGCGGGGGGACTGGTATCATTGAAGCTGCTCTATTTTTTTCTATTGATCCATTAATCTCTTGGTAATGATTTGAATAGAATTTCATTATTTGGTAGGGGGAGGGGGCTTTTCTTAAGTTAGAAAATCATCTAAGGCAGAAGTCACGGGGAAGCAGCTTCTTCTATGTTTAAAAACTTAGGAGTTCATTGTCGATATCTGAAACCTAGGAGATTGCACATAAAAAAAAAGCTTGGTTTCTGGGTGGAGGATGGGGCGGGCCATCATCCCCACTTTGCTGTAGTGCCACCCCGTACACGCGGGCCCCTCTCCCATGCCCATCCCCCCCACTGCACTTGACTTATTAGTGACCCCTGCCGGGTCCTGGTCCTGGTGGGCATTTGAGTGCGCAAGCCTCTGGTATAGAGGGTGGTTTACACACTTTTTCATTACCCTCAGTGTTTCCTGTGAATGGGCGAAGCGAGAAGGTCTTTCTTGACTAAGGTTTAGGTTCTGCCCCCGACTGATAGAGACGGGACTGAGGTCCGTCCCGGCCCACCTTGGCTTCCGTGAGGCATGGCCAAGGTACGCGCCAGGCTTTCAGGACCCGTCTGGTCGCTCTTTTCCAGCAGACGGAAGAGTTAGGTGCCAGGAGGGACCTTGGCGGTGGGTCTCCCTTCCAAGGACGATTACCAGGTCTGAGAGTGGGCACCCCAAGCTAGGTGAGTGGGGCCAGCAGCCGTGGGCGCAGGGCCTCCGGTGGGGTTGTAGTCCGGCTTTGTGGGCACTCATCTTTCTCACGTGGCAGTTGTATTGCTTCTGACCTGAGTTGGTAATTCCTTAGATCTCGTAAAGCCAGACAGCACCTCGCTGCTGCCTGAGCGAAACAGAACGGGTCCTCCCCTTTATTCCCTGGAGGTGCTCCTCATGGGAGCCCCGGGGAGCCAGGCATCTGGGCAACTGGGGGGAACCTGTGAAACAGTTTGTCCTGAGAGTCCCCTGGTCCCGCCCTGAGTGACATCTCTCCACAAATGTATTGGCTGGGGTGGGAAAGGGAATATTTAAAGAGGCTGTTGAAGAGGTAGGATTTAGCTTGGCGTTTAACACTCACGTTGCACGAGACAAAGTAGCCCTAACGGAGTCTCAGAGAGACTTTTACAACGAGTGTGCCGCACTTCCTGTCCTCTCAGAGCGTTTGTCTCCGGGACCCACCACGCAAGGGAGGTTCCTAGGTTGTCGAGCCCAGACCAAGGCAAACCTGCAGAGGAGCCCAGGGCTGAGACCCCCCCAGCTGTGACCTCCACAAGCCCCTCCTACCCCAGACAGAGAGCCGGGGCCCAGCGTCACTGGGAAAGGTGGGCGACAGCCACATTAACTCGGATTAGCAGGCTGTACCTCGGAGCGCAGCAGAACCACCCTGCGGCCTGGCTCCCGGGGGTCCAGAGGCCCCCGTGCGCTTTGTCCTGTTAGGGCAGCAAGCAGAGCCAGCGCCATAGGGGAAGCCACTTGTTTGTACCCAAGGGTGGCACCACCCTTCCTGGCCTGGTTTTGTGTTTTAGTGAATCAGGGGCTGAGGTGGACATGGAATTTGGCCTGGGCAGCCTGCCCCTCGTACAACCTTGGAGTGTAAGGGAGATGGGGTACGAGGCAGGGTGGACACAGCCTGGGTCCTGTAGGAGTCCCTCAGATGCCTTTGGCCCCCCAGTCTGCGCCCTCTGGTTGCGTTATGTGTGGGCTGCCTCGTTGGGAGCAGAGACAGAGCCTCCCCCACGGGGACAGCGACCCAGGCTGGGCACTGGAGTCACTGCAGAGCCAGGGGTTGGGGGACACCCTGTGTGGCTTTCTCCTCAACCTCCCCAGCCCCAGCCAGGGCGCCTGCTGCACATGCAGACCCAACCTGCCTGTCCCTTGACGGGTGAAACTCAGAGACCCTCAGGCAGCAGTTCAGACCGTGCGTCCTAGGTCAGCCTTGCTGTCTTGCACCGCAGCGTACTTGGAGGAACTAGGCGCTTGGCTTAGTCCTTGTGACCGAGCCCTCATTTGAGTCCTGGTGGGAGAAACTGGGGCTCCTTCTCTCTTTCACTGGCTACCGAGCTCTTCTCAGTAGCCAGGGTGCTGCCCCGGCTCGTTACCCCAACCCCAGACGCCTCTCAGCCCCACCACCTCCCCCCCCAGGGACACCGCCCGCTCCAGCAGTCCTGGCTGCCGAGACAGCCACTCCGGTCCCTTGCTCCCTGACAGGAGTGGGTCTCACCTCCAGCCTCCGTGCCTGGTCTGGTCTGGGCACGTGTCTGCACCAAAGAGAAGGCAGGACAGAGAAGCAGGCCAGAGGGCCAGGCCCGAGTGGGAGGCCAGAGGGAACACAGCCTCGGGTGGGTCTAGACCGGCCCTGCCCGAGAGAAGTCTAGTGTCAGGCACCTGTAGCTTCCGATGTTCGAGTAACCACATTGGAAAAAACAAAAAGAAACAGGTGAAATTAATTTTAGTAACATTTTATTTAGCTCACTATGTCCAATATAATATCATTTCATCTGTAAATATTTTAAAAATTTAATGAGACATTTGCATCTTTGAAATCCTGTGAGAATTGACACCTACAGCCCAAGTCGGAGACTCGATTTTTATCTCAAATACTTGGCCTGTCCTTACATTTTGTTAAATTTCCAGTTAAATTCACATCCTAGATCCATTTCAGATATACTTAAAAGTTTTCCTATAACTTAATCGGGTATCAGTCTTTAGTTTGCAATGAAATAAAACTAAATTTAAAATGATTTCCTGGGCTGCATTAGCCACATTTCAAGTGCTCCATAGCCCCCATGGCTAGTGGCGAGGGGATGGGACAGTGACCTGCCCTGGGGGTTCATTGTGGCACCTCCCACCCCTGGCCACTTACCCAGAACCAGCTGGTCATCCCAGACCCTGGGCAAGGGGACACCAGTGGTTTCCAGGATCGACTCATTCAGGGCAGCCTTTCAGTCGCCTGAGACGGGAGTGCCCTTCCTGGACACCATCCTTGGAGGGAGGAAAGCCTGCGTCTCCGATGGCTTCCTCGGGGCTCTTCGTGCCTCAGTTCACCCGACCAGTTCCAGCCTTGGCCAGGCGTTTCCCCCCTCCAAGCACCCACCCGCGGGAGGCAGGCCCGTGTCACCGGGAGGATGCACTTCACACTGCTGCTCCCGAGAAAAAACGCTTTTGCTCTGCAAGCACGTGGCACCCACGAGTGCTGCACGTGAAGCAAGCACCAGCCTCAGGGCCAGTCCCGGTGACAACAGCTCTGAGGCTCATGGAGCACTGCGCTACGCCAGACCCTTGAAGAGAGCACGTCTCCTCACGGCTCTCTTGCCGGGGAGGTGGACCCGCCCCCTCTGTGACAGGCCTCGGGTCACCACACGGCCACCGCGCTGCTCAGTGGCAGAGCGGGGATTTCAACTGCGTCTGCTGGCTCTGATGCCTGCTCTTTCCACCTCATCGCGCTGTGGTTCAAAAAGCAATCAAGCCCGATTCCAAGCAGTTGGTCTGAGCCTTTGTAAGACCTAGGATTTAAATGCCAAGAGGCTAGGAGTTCGGCTGGGCGTGGGAGGGGGTGACAAAGCACATGCCACTTCCCTAGTTCCTTGCCGTCTGCAGAGCACTCTGCCCACTAGAGGGCGCCGCGCGGAGGTATGATGCTCTAGCAAAGCGCAGTAGTGAATCCT